TTAAGAATGTTGAATATTGGCCCCCACTCTCTTCTGGCTTGTAGAGTTTCTGCCGAGAGATCCGCTGTTAGTCTGATGGGCTTCCCTTTGTGGGTAACCCGACTTTTCTCCCTGGCTGCCCTTAATATTTTTTCCTTCATTTCAACTTTGGTGAATCTGGAGTTGCTCTTCTCGAGGAGTATCTTTGTGGTGTTCTCTGTATTTCCTGAATATGAATGTTGGCCTGCCTTGTTAGGTTGGGGAAGTTCTCCTGGATAATATCCTGCAGAGTGTTTTCCAACTTGGTTCCATTCTCCCCATCAGTTTCAGGTACATCAATCAGATGTAGATTTGGTCTTTTCACATAGTCCCATATTTCTTGGAGACTTTGTTCATTTCTTTTTACTCATTTTTCTCTAAACTTCTTTTCTTACTTCATTTCATTTATTTGATCTTCAATCACTGATACCCTTTCTTCCACTTGATCGAATCGGCCGCTGAAGCTTGTGTATGCATCATGTAGTTCTCATGCCATGGTTTTCAGCTCCATCAGGTCATTTAAGGTCTTCTCTATGCTGTTTATTCTAGTTAGCCATTTGTCTAATCTTTTTTCAAGGTTTTTAGCTTCTTTGCGATGGGTTCGAACATCCTCCTTTAGCTTGGAGAAGTTTGTTATTACCGATCGTCTGAAGCTTTCTTCTCTCAACTCATCAAAGTCATTCTCCGTCCAGCTTTGTTCCATTGCTGGAAAGGATTTGCGTTCCTTTTGAGGAGAAGAGGTGTTCTGATTTTTAGAATTTTCAGCTTTTCTGCTCTTGTTTCTCCCTATCTTTGTGGTTTTATCTACCTTTGGTCTTTGATGATGGTGATGTACAGATGGGGTTTTGGTGTGGATATCCTTTCTGTTTGTTTTTTTCCTTCTAACAGTCAGGACCCTCAGCTGCAGGTCTGTTGGAATTTGCTGGAGGTCCACTCTAGACCCTGTTTGACTGGGTATCACCAGTGGAGGCTGGAGAACAGCAAATATTGCAGAATGGGAAATGTTGCTGACTGATCCTTCCTCTGGAAGCTTCATCTCAGAGGGACACCCAGATGTATGAGGTGTTGGTCAGCCCCTACTGGGAGGTGTCTCCCAGTTAGGCTACTCAGGGGTCAGGGACCCACTTGAGGAGGCAGTCTGTCCGTTCTCAGATCTCAAACTCTGTGCTGGGAGAACCACTACTCTCTTCAAAGCTGTCAGATAGGGACATTTAAGCCTGAAGAAGTTTCTGCTGCTTTTTGTTCAGCTATGACCTGCCCCCAGAGGTGGAGTCTACAGAGGCAGAAAGGCATTCTTGAGCTGCGGTGGGCTCCACCCAGTTAGAGCTTCCTGGCTGCTTTGTTTACCTACTCAAGCCTCAGCAGTGGTGGACGCCCCTCCCTAAGCCTTGCTGCTGTCTTGCAGTTCAGTCTCAGACTGCTGTGCTAGCAGTGAGCGAGGCTCTGTGGGCATAGGACCCTCTGAGCCAGGCGTGGGATATAATCTCCTGGTGCGCCGTTTGCTAAGACTGTTGGAAAAGAGCAGTGTTAGGGTGGGAGTGTCCTGATTTTCCAGGTACCATCTGTCACAGCTTCCCTTGGCTAGGAAAAGGAATTACCCAACTCCTTGTGCTTCCTGGGTGAGGTGATGCCCTATCCCGCTCTGTGGGCTGCACCCACTGTCTGACAAGCCCCAGTGAGATGAACCCAGTACCTCAGTTGGAAATGCAGAAATCACCCGTCTTCTGTATCGTTCATGCTGGGAACTGTAAACTGGAGTTGTTCCTATTTGGCTATCTTGGAACCTCCTCAATTCACTCTACTTTTTATTCTATTTTTTTTTTTTTTAAACCTCAAGGTATAACATAACCTTTTTTGTCAAATATTGAGTCTATTTTGGAGAATTTCATATATATAAATATTAATATAACCACCCTAGATTAAAATATAGAACATGTACAGCACCTCAGAAGGCTTCTTTCTTCCACTTCTTTGTCAATATTAGTTTGTCTATTTGATATCCTTTCACCAATGCCACACTCTGAATTGCTGCTGTTTTATTGTCTTGAATTTTTCAAGTCATGTAGTTTAAGTCCTCCAAATGTGTGTTCCTTCAAGATTATCTCAGTTATTTGACCTTTTTGTATAAATTTTAGAACGAGATTGTCAGAATTCATGGAAAAATTTTGTTGGGGATTTTGGGACTGAAGTTGCCTGGAATCTTCAAAATATTTTGGAAAGAACTGATAACTTAATAAAAGTATCTCAATCCATGAACATAGTATATCTCTTCATTTATACAGATCTTTTAAAATTTCTCTCAACATGTTTTGTACTTTTCAGCAGAGGTCTTTCACATCATTCATTAATTTATTCCTAAGTAGTTGGTATTTTGTTACTTTTATAAATGGTATTCTTTTAAATTTTCATTCGTTAACTCTTTGTAGACCTTATATCCAAGGGCCTTACTAACGTACTTATTAATTGTAATCATTTGTTTGTAGATTTTTTAGGATTTTCTACATATGCAGTCATTTTTTTCTGCAAATAATGACTATTTTACTTTTTCCTTTCCAAAGTTTATATGTTTTATTTCTTTCTCTTGCCTTATTGCACTGGTTAGACTCTCCGATATAGTGTTTACTGAAAGTTGTGGTAGAGGATATTTCCTTTTTAAAAACTGGGTTGTGACCCTTTCACTTGATTTCATGACCAATTAATAGATTGTGACCTTTAACTTTAAAAATACTGGTAGAGAGGGTGAATTAGATATGACTGGAGCAAAATCAAAGGAATAATAAATAGGATATTTTAATAGCTCATGGAAGAAATAATAAGAATCTGGGTTATCCAAAGGCAGCAAGGATGAAGACAAAAAGACATATTTAAAAAAAATACTTAGGTGATAAAATTTATTGAATACTGACATATTATTTAATTTACATTCTATATTCAAATATTGCCATTTTTTCCAATAATATAATTTATAGGTATAATTTTCCAAGTCTAAGATCTAATCCAGGATCATGCATTGCATTTAATTATCTTTCTTTAGTCTCCTTTTATTCAGAAAAGTCTCTCAACTTTGTCTCTTATGACATAGATATAGTTGAAGAATATAGTCCAGTTTATTTTACAAAATATTCATTGGTTTGGGTTTTCCAGGTGTAACCTCATGATTAGGTTCAAGTTATACATTTTTGAAATAAATATCACAGAAGCAAGATTACATCTTTCACAGTGCCCCATATTAGGAAGCAGGCACAGGTTTGCCTTGATGTTAGTTAAATTAAATTGATCATGTAGCTAAGGTGCTGTTTACACGTGTTTTTTTTTTTTTTTAAGTAAACACTTAGAAACTATGTAAATACTGCTTATCATGAAATCTCTACCCACTAATTAAGTTAAATTGATCATGTAGCTAAGGTGCTGTTTACAAGTTTGTTTTTTTTGCTTTTTTTGTTTTGTTTTGTTTAGTAAATACTTAGAAACTATGTAAGTACTGCTTATCATGAAACCTCTACCCACTAATTTCAGTATTCATTGATGATTCCTGCCTAAATCAATTATTACAATAATAGTTGCAAGGTGATGACTTTCTAACTTTATCCATTATTCCTTCTGCATAGGTTAGTTTGTATTAGCTATAGGAAAGAGTTTTTCTTTCTTCCCTACTTATTTATTTAGTCATGCATATTTTTATTATGAGTATGGATTTTTATTTTTATTTTATTACAGATTTTTATTTTACTAAAAGGGTTATGATCCTATACTATGATTATTGATTTTGATGCTTAAATCTATCCAGTTTTTACCAGTGGAAGTCTCTTCAAACTGCCTTCTGTGTTCTTTTGACATGTCACATCATTCTTTGAGCACTTTTTTACTATGCAACATAAAAGAGTTGTTTTGTATTTTCCCTGATCCAGTCTTGAAATCAACTATTTTACTAAGAATTTCTCATTTTCTTTAGTGGAGGATGACAATAGTATTTAAAAATAAGTATACCAGATATGCTCATTGCTGCTATCAAGGTGTCTTTGTGTCTAGTTCCTTTCAGCACACGGACTAGAAAATTACATGTATATAAAATTTTATATGTATATAAAAATTTATATATATATAATGGACTAGAAAATTGATGTATACACACATCAATTTTCATACATTTACTTATTTATTTAAAGACAGAGCCTTGCTCTGTTGCCCAGGCTGGAGTGCAGTGGTAAGATCATAGCTCAGTGCAGCCTCAAACTCCTGGGCTCAAGAGATCCTCTTGCCTCAGCCTCCTGAGTAGCTAGAACTACAGGTGTGCACCATTGAGCTTGGATACTAAAAAATTTTTTTGTAGAGACAGGAGTCTTGCTATATTGCACAGGCTAGTCTCAAACTCTTGGCCTCAAGTGGTCCTCCTGCTTTAGCCTCCTAAAATACTGGGATTACAGGTGTGAGCCATGTGCCCAGGCAATTTTCATACAATTACATGTATGTATGTTAACATTTTGAATATCAATGAGTACTGAGACCTGCAATTCCAATCCAATAAAACAGAGTGCATTCTAATTTTTCTCCCTCCATATTTTTAAATCCCGTCTCTAACAGTGAGAAATTCATTGCCATTATTCGCAATATATTTACTTATTTAGTCAATCTTAGAATATATACCAAGTACATTCCAGCAATTCAGAATAGCTAACCAATCACACTGTTATTTTCACACTGTGAAAAATAAATTTACTGACTAGAATTCAATAGTTGTTTACAGTAGAGAGTTTTTATATACTTACACATCTTACTTTTTTAATATGACTAGGAGAGGGCTCCTGACTTAAAAAATATGATAAATGTTATCTATGGTTAGAAAAACATGAATACTTTTAGGAACCAGCTTAGTGTATAAGTTATATTTTCAATAGAACTAAAGTTTTTAAAGTTTTAATCTTAAAATGTAATTTTAATGATTCAGAATTATTATGCTAAAATGTAATTTATTTGGTTCTTACCCTGGCATCAGGATTATCATCAAATTGTGTTCTAATAAATGTATCAAAAGAATCCCAATAGTTTTCGGTTAGGTTTCCACCCAAAGACCACAAATAACAGAAAACAAAAGTCTGACATAGTATAGTGTTCAGTTTTGTTTGTTCCTGAAAGAATAAAGAGAAACAGACTTAATATTTTATATATAAACATAAAAAGAATCCTAAGCTGCAAAGTGTAAAGGTATTTTTCTTTCATTTAGACTAACACATTTTTAAATGGGCACAGTGTATGTTTCTTACACTTCATGCAATGGTTCACAGAGTAGTGTTTTCTTATAGTTATATATTATAATCACTGATGAGAAAATGAATGAGAAGGAATATGTAGGGAAAAAAAGTCCAAGTTTGCCTTTCAACTGATTGCTATAATTTTTAAAATACCTGCATGAAGGTATGTAAGCAGATTGAGAATATCTTGTATTGGGAATATGTTGTAGACTGTAAGAGAATTCAAAATTGAGTAGAGGAATAAACTATACATGCTAACGTTCCTTGTAGCTTTGAGATTCTATGAATGTAATCATAGCTATTAGTCCCCTGAAAAATTAACTTAAAAATCAAATGGTTATATTTTAGAATGGAGTCATTTCTTTGCAAGAAATTTATACAATAATCTAATTTTTCTAGCTTCATAGCAGTAAGAAAACTCTTCATACCATTGCCAAGTTAACTCCATCTTTCCCAAGTATCAAGGACTCCAATAAGCAACAGAGTGTAGTAACTTTGCTGATGTCCACTTGTGGAATTGCTTGGCTGCACTTTTTATTGATAAAATGTAAACCTTCATCAACATAACGTTGGAAAAGATTTAATATATATTCTTGGGTTTCCTCATTCAGCTGAAAATGAAACAAATGATAGTTTAGCAAGACCTGATAAATACATAATTCAGTTTAGAATTGGGTTGGTTAAAATCTGGATATTTCTATATATTCAGTGATCTTTAGACCAAAGGCTATAACTATCACAACATATTAAACAAATTAAATTTTAAGGAAACCTTTTATGACTGGGAAGGGATACATGGGGGAAATTATGGGTAGTTGATTGCATTCTATTTCTCGGTCTGGCAATGGGTTCAGAGGTGTTAATTTCATAATTATTTCTTAAGCTGCCAATACATAAAATATTTAAAAGTGAATTCAATCCTTCTCACTACTCTTATTCAACTTTGTCCTGAAGTCCTAGCTAATGCAATAGGACAATAAAAGGAAATAAAAGGTGTACAGATTGGGAAGGAAGAAGTAAAACGGTCTTTGTTCACAAATAACATAATTGTCTATGTGGCAAATCTACCTAAATTGACAAAACAAAACAAACAAAACTGGAACTCATAGGTAATTATGGTAAAGTTGCAGGATATGAGGTTAACATATACAAGTCAATCATTTTCTTATACACCAGCAAGGAGCAATTGAAATTTGAAATTAAAAATACAATACAATTTACATTAGTGCCAAAAATAAATTAATTATAAATATATCAAAATATGTACTGGATCTATATAAGACAAGCTATAATACTCTGATGAAAGAAGCTAAAGAACTACTAAATAAATAGAGAGAAATATCACATTCATGAGTAGGAAGACTAAATAGTCTTACGATGTCAATTTCTCCGATGTTATCTATAAATTTAACAAAATCTCAGTCAAAATTCCAGCAAGTTACTTTGTGGATTAATTGACAAACTGATTCTAAAGTTTATATGGAAAGGCAAAAGACCCAGAATAACCAACACAACAATGAAGAAAAAGAACAAAGTTGAAAAACTGACACTACCCAACTTCAAGACTTACTATACAGCTGCAGTAATCAAGACAGTGGGTTATTGGTGAAAGAATGGACAAGCAGATCAATGGAACAGAATGGAGAGCACAGAAATAGACCTACATAAATACAGTCAATTGATTTTTAACAAAAAAGCAAAGGCAATCCGATGGAGAAAGGACAATCTTTTCAACAAATGGTGCTGGAACAACTGGATATACACATGCAAAAAAAACGAATTTAGACACAGACCTTATACCTTCCTAAAAATTAACTGAAAATGGATTATAAATGCAAAACACAAAATATGAAGTTTTTAGAAGATAACAGGAGAAAATCTACATGACTTTGGGCTTGGTGATGACTTCTTAGGTATGACACCAAAGGCATCATCCATGAGGAAACAAACTGGTAAGTTGAATTTCATTAAAATTAACTTCTACTCTGGGAAACACACTGTTATGAGAATAGAAGATGAAATATTTATACAATGTGAAGATTGTAAAAAAAAATATCCAATGCTAAAAAGAAATAAGTTACCAAACCACAGAAAGACATGGAAGTACCTTAAATGAATATTACCAAGTAAAAAGAAGCCAGTCTGAAAAGGCTATGTACTATACGATTTCAACTGTATGACATTCTAGAAAAGGTAAAACTACAGAGATAGTAAAAAGATCAGTGGTTGCAGGGGTTAAGGGATGGGAGGAGGGATGATATTCAGAAGGTAGATCTCAGAGGATTTTTAGAGCAATGAAACTATTCTGCCTGATACTATAATGGTGGAAACATGACACTATGCATTTTTCAAAACCCATAAATTGTACACAAAGAGTGAACTCTAACACAAAGTATGCACTTTGGTTAATAATAATGTACTAATACTGGTTCACCATTTATGCAGTGTAAATAATAGGTGAAACTGTTTGGGGGTGAGGGAGTACATGGGAACCCTCATTTCTGTTCAATTTTTCTATAAACTTAAAACTGCCCTAGGCATAAAAATGTCTGCTAATTTTAAAAAAGTGAATTCAGAAAAGTTAAAAGTCTTAAGGTAGCCAATGATAAACTCTCAATTCTGAGAATTACTGTCTTTAATAAGGTACTCTGAGACTAGACCATAATATTCTTAAAATGTTCATGCAAAGAAAGGAGGAAAACAATAGTTTTCCGGCTCATCTTTGGAGGGGGAGAGGCAGAGACGAAGACGGCTTATTTGGAGTAGGGGATGAGATGTGGGGGAAACATCTCAAAGGACTACTTGTTCAGCTAAGCTAAAGAGAAAAATTCTGTATTAGAATGGAGAAGCTACAGAAAGTAGTATGAAACTGATTTGTTTTGAATAACAATGTATAAGCTTTTCTTCAATTTGGGTGGAATTGTACCTCTGAGGTTAGAATGTGTCTTATGTCTCGCACCTACAATTGGGGTAGGATGTAAATGGGTTTTCTTTTATCTTTGGCTGTCATAGGTGTTAGGGGCTCTGAAAATCCAAAAACAATGACAGTTAGGGTCTAGACTTAAATATTCTTTTTCTTCCTTTTGGTTCTGTTTTATTACTCCCAAGCTTTCTGCAAAGTCTCAATGCCTCAGGCTGTTGAAGTTGTGTTTTTAGGGACTCACAAAAGTGGCTTGTGTTTCAGTCTGGGGAGAAGCCAGACAGAATAGGCAGGAGGAAGTGTGAGTAGGCCGGCTGGCAGGCTGGGGTAACAAGAAATGAGGACAGATTTGGGGAGTATATAAACATTCCTGGAGGATTCTAGGAATCCATAGGGAGGACTAGGTAAAATAATGAAGTCCCCTCAATGAAGCACCATGAGTCCTTAACATATTGTTATTTGTGCACTAGAAGGCAATGTGAGTCCTGACAGATGGAGATACTGGGGAATATCTGATTGCACTTACATTTTTAGAAATACCCTTCATCCAAGTTTTAACATAAGGCATCCATTTCAGTTCTTCAGGATCCACAAACACCATTCCACATCGACTGACAGTTGCAGGGGAGGCAACCCGCAGATCTTGCACCTAAAGTTGAAGAAAGTTGAGCAGGAAACCGCTAATATGATACTTCCTTATTTCTCCAACTTCAGTGTTCACACTTATAAAATGATTCACACTTTTAAAGTCTAACTTAACATTGAAAGGCTTTGTGTGGAAGAGAGTGGGAGAACAATAAGTAATTAGAAATGCAAGAACAAAGTTAAATGAGTATAAGGCAAAAAAATTCCCACAAGTACAGGAGGATACTGTCAAATTCTATGGGCAGGGCTATTTTTTCTTTCTTCTCTTTGCTTTTCTCTTTTCTCCTTTTCATTCTTGTATTAGAATCCCTAGCACATAGTAGGCATTCAATCAGTATTTGATGAATGAATAGAACACAGGTGGCATCCTTCATAATGTTTGTAGCTGTACTTGGTCCACATTCCTCTCCCAATCCCTCATCAAATATTCATATCACAATGGGATAATTTATTCTTATTAAATATAATAATTTTTAAATTTAAAATGCATTTCAAATGATACAAAGTGCTCTCTCTCTCTCTTTCTTCCTCTCTCTCCCTCTCTCAGGGAAGCCAGAATTTATTGTACTTCCTATTTATAGAGACAAGAACATTTGAGACTTTGACTGTCAGTCTATTACAAAAGGATAATTTAATAAGTAAGTAAACAGAACATAATAATAGACATTATAGATAGTAAAGGCTACATCAGTGTGAGAAAAAATGTAATGATGGTATGCCAATTTAATGAATGATTTCACTCCACAGTAATGTGTACACTTACCTCAAAAAGCATGTGAATTTGAGGTGTGAGTTTAATCCTCTCACTGTTAGCCAGGCAAAGCATCTTGTTATCATCCAGCACTGTATTCATGTTTTCAATCCAAAGAGCATCTACTGGCCCATCACTGATGATCCATTTATGGTCTTCTGAAGTATCATTCACAGCTGCTCGGACACTTAGTGCCATCAAACCATCTTTCCATTCCAAGGTTAAGTTATTAACCTCTCCATATAATTCGCCCATGGTAATTGATTTAGGGTTGAGAACATATGTTTTAACTGCTTGGTAAAAGGGATTTTCTATCCCAAGTTTTTGTAAATTCCCTAAAGTTTCTGCTAGTATTCTGTAAACTGTGGTCTTGCCACCTCCTGTTGGTCCAACTAACATAACACCATGCCTTACTAGCATTGTTTCATAAAACTGTATCACCTTTCTAACCATACACATCTCAGGCTGAAGATTTTGTCCATTCATGACATCCACAATTGTTGACTGTAAAATACCATAATCATGTTCTGGAATTTGGACTCCAGGAAAAAGGTCAGATATGATTCCACTGTCAAAACAAAAATAAAATCAATTAGGAACAACTGGTCATTGATTTTTCCCATATTTGTTACAATCAATGAAATATTATGAGTCTTATTGTTTCTCATTGATCTTTCTCTTCTGAACATGTACAGTATTAGTTTGTCCTACATGCTGTACCAGAATCTATCATTTCTCTGATATCATGTATGATTTTGTTTGTTTCCTGTATAGTAGACCAATGTTCATAAGTATATTAGGAGCTTCTTGGGAGTAAGCAATATCTTTTGTGTTTCTTTCTGTATTTCTCACAGTACATGGCACAGTACCAAGCATATAGAAGGTGATGAACTTATTTTTAATTATTTAAAAAATATAAAATATCTCACTTAAAAATTTAAAATTATTTTAAAATTATATTTGAAATTATATTTATAGCTCAAATTTTCCTAAAATCACTTACATACGCTCATAACTGTATGTGGCTATTCAGAAAAATAAGATGAATATAGAATTAAAATTAGTATTATGCAAGAAGGGAGGAAGGAAAAATGTGACTGTTTCTATAGGAAACAGTTGATATGAGATGTTTCTATGGGAAAAAAGAAGCTAAATCTTTACTTCACATTATTTACACAAATACATCTGTGATACAGTTAAAACCTTACATAAAGTGACCAAAGTACTAGAAGAAAGTACAAGAGCTAAATTTTGCAACATTGTGGTAAGGCGGTCTTTCTAAGAAAGGCAGGATATCTACAACTGTAAAAAGAAGTTGACGGAGTGAAAAAAGAAAAACAAACAGACAAAAACCAAACTTCTGTGAGATAAAAGGCTTTATATACAAACCTAAAGCATGAATGAGAGACTTAGAAAAACATTTCCAATGTTTATATCAATAAAGGTTATGTGTTTCTATAAATCAGTAAGTAAGAGTACAATAGGAACAAGCTCCAAGAATAATAATTATAAATAAATAATGAACATAGGAAATGATACCCAATGACTCTAATAGTTACAGAAATGAATATTAAAATAGGCTACTACATTTGGCCCCTCTTTAAAACACTTATGGGGAAATAGGCACCTTCATAAAACCACTTATGTAAATGTTAAAGGGTAACTCATCTTTGGAGGACAATTTGATTGAATCTATTTAAATAAAAAATGTGCAAACCCTATGACCTAGGAAACTTACTTCCAGGAATCTCCCTTGTAGAAATATCACACCTGTGCAAAGATATATGTATAGGAATGTTCATTATTAGCATAGAAAACAATTAGGAAAAAATCTAAATGTCCATATATAAGACCTTTCACATTAAAATAGTTCTATAGGTTTATTATGTCTCAAAGTACTATCTTACATAATAGCAGTCTAGCAGCAGTACAAAAAAATAGACTCATGCATATATACTAACATGAAAAAGATGCTTAAGATATGTAACTAATTGAAAAAGCAACAGCTGTAAAAATAGAAATGTATTAAAGGTAATACATGAAAATGTCAACCAACTTATTTCTCCGGAAAGATGGAACAGACTTACTTTTCCCTATTCCTTCCATTAAGCACAACTAAAATCCCTGTACATTAAGTAAAATAAATGAAAGAAGACTCTGAAAGGTAGAGAAAAGGCAGACTGGCTAGGTACTTAAGATGCAAGCAATAACAGTGTCGAGTCTCTTGTGTCTTTTTGTCTTTTATATGCTGGCAATCCAGAAACGCCAATGGGCACAGATTTTTTAAAAAAGCCCTAGGAAAAGCTTACCGCCTTTATCCAAAGGACCAGGAAAGGGGCAGCCCAGCAAGACAGAAAACTTTTAGGCAATAACTGCTCTACTCTAACCAAACACCACTGAAAACTCCTGAGGTATTTATTCCTACCCACACCAGCAGATACTGAGTACGGAGCCCAGACTTCCACTCTAGCTAGGGTGTAACAAGTCTCCTGAAATTCCTCTCCTCATTCCCCCATGGTGTCAGAGAAGGCCATATAGGGATGTACTTTCATCCTCACTGGGAAGTAATGATACTCCCTTTGGTATTAGTGGAGACCATATGGGAAGCCTGGACTTCCAGCCCTCCCCAGGAATAATGAAGCACCCCTTCCTCTCTCTGATGGGTGGCATCAGAGGAGGCTCAGTGGAGAGTTAGGACTTTTACCACTGTCCAGGGGTAATAAAGCTGTCTTCCCTGTGGCATCAGTGGAGGTTACGTGGGGAGCAGTAATGAGGTATTTCTACTCTTCTATCCAGGACAATATCACTGGAGGACTGCCAGGGAGCTGGAACTCCCACCCCTACACAGCAGAAATGACTGCTCCCACCAGACACCGATAAAACTTGAATTCTATCCCCACCTGGCAGTAACAAAGTTGCATTTCTAATTTCTCTTGCTGGTGTGGCATCAGGAAAAGCCAGCTAAAACAAGTTTAGATAAGATCTAGAGTCTCATAACATAATATCTCAGATAAGTAGGTTTCAATAAAAGTCATCATTCATCATATCAAAAGCCAGAAAGATCTCAAACTGAACTAAGAGAGACAATCAATAGATGCTAACACTGAGATAAGAGAGATGTTAAAACTGTCTGACAAATGTATTTTATTTCTTAAGGGATACGGTCTCACTATACTGCCCAGGCTGGCCTTGAACTCCTGGGCTCCAACAATCTTCCTGCCTCAGCCTTCTGACTAGCCAGGACTATAGGTGCATGTGACTACACACAGGTGAGATCATTATCTTAAAACAGACATCATGAAAATGTTTTAAGAACCCATTATAAAGACATTAGAAACAAAAGAATATAAGGACATCTCAGCCAAAAAAAAGAAAGAAAAAAGAATATACAAAGAACCTGTGAGAAATTTTAGAACTGTTCCCCTTCCCGAGTCCAAGTGATCTCATTGTTCAGTTCCCACCTATGAGTGAGAACATGCGGTGTTTGGTTTTCTGTTCTTGGGATAGTTTGCTGAGAATGATGGTTTCCAGCTGCATCCATGTCCCTACAAAGGACACAAACTCATCCTTTTTTATGGCTGCATAGTATTCCATGGTGTATATGTGCCACATTTTCTTAATCCAGTCTGTCACTGATGGACATTTGGGTTGATTCCAAGTCTTTGCTATTGTGAATAGTGCCGCAATGAACATCCGTGTGCATGTGTCTTTATAGCAGCATGATTTATAATCCTTTGGGTATATACCCAGTAATGGGATGGCTGGGTCATATGGGGCCTATCATGGGGAGGGGGGAGGGGGGAAGGATTGCATTGGGAGTTATACCTGATGTAAATGACGACTTGATGGGTGCTGACGAGTTGATGGGTGCAGCACGCCAACATGGCACAGTTATACATATGTAACAAACCTGCACGTTATGCACATGTACCCTAGAACTTAAAGTATAATAATAATAATAAAAAAAAGAAAATAAAAGAAATTTTAGAACTGAAAAAATACAATAAAAAATCAACAGATGGGTTCAAGAGCAAAATGGAAGGGATAGAGGAAAGAACTGGTAAACTGCAAGACAGAATAATAGAAGTTACCCAATCTGAACAAGACAGAGAAAATTGTCTGAAAAAAAAAAATGAGCAGCCCTTGGAGACCTATGGAAATATAACAAAAGATCTAACATTTGTGTCATTGGAGTCTCAAACGATGGGGAAAGATGAAAGAGCTGAAGAAGTATTCAGAGAAATAATGACTGAAAATGTCACACATTTGCCAAAAAGCACGAACCTACAGATTTAAGACATTGATCAAATCTCAAACAGGATAAACCCGAAGAAATCCATATGAAGAAACAACATAGTCAAACTTGTAAACACGGAAGACAATGAAAACAATCTTAGCAGCAGCCAGAAGAAAAAAAAGAAATGACACCTTACCAACAGGGAAAAAAACCCCACACAGAATAACAGCAAAATTCTCATCTGAGACCATGGAGGCTGACAGGAAGTGGTACATCTTTTTAAAAAAATGTTTTATTTTCAGTTCTGGGGGGTACATGTGCAGGATGTGCGGGTTTGTTACATAGGTAAATGTGTGCCATGGTGGTTTGCTGCACCTATCAATCCATCATTTTTCAGCTCCCACTTATAAGTGAGAACATGTGGTGTTTGGTTTTCTGTTCCTACATTAGTTTGCTGAGTTATGGTGTCCAGCTTCATCCATGTCCCTGTAAAGGACATGATCTCATTCCTTTTAATGGCTGCATAGAATTTCATGGTGTACATGGGAAGTATATGGTACAACAGCTTTCAAGTACTGAAACAACTGTCACTCCAGAATCTTATACCCAGGGAAAATATCCCTCTAGAATGAAGGGAAATAAAGACATTCTCAGATAAAGGAAAAGGAAATGAATTTGCAGCCAGCAGATCTACCATGAAGAATGGCTAAAGGGAATTTCCCTAAGCAAAAAGAAACGATGAAAAGAAGCAAACTTGGAGCATCAGAAAGGAAGAAAGAACACGATAAATAAAAATATGAGCTCCTATTATGAACATGGTATTACTATTCATTGTGAAAAGTAATTGTATATTTATATATAAGCATCCTTCAGAGATGCTGTGGGTTCAGTTTCAGAGCACTACAATAAAGTGAATATAGCAATAAAGCAACTCGTTTTTTGGTTTCTCAGTGCATATAAAATTTATTGCTATGCTATACTGTAGTCATTTAAGCATGCAATAGCATTATGTCTAAAAAATGTACATACCTTTATTTAAAAATGCTTTATTGCTAAAAAAGGCTAATGACCATCTGAGCTGTCGGCAAGTCATAATCTTTTTGCTGGCAGAGGGTCTTACCTCAATGTTGATAGCTGCTGACTGAGCAGGATGGTAGTTGCTGAAGGCTGGAGTGACTGTGGCAATTTCTTAAAATAAGACAACAATAATGTTTGCCATGTTCATTGACTCTTTTGTGAAAGATATCTATGTGCTGTGATGCTGTTTGATAGCATTTTACTCACAGCAAAACTTCTTTCAAAGTTGAAGTCAGTTCTCTCAAACCCTTCCA